ACTGGCCAACCGTGTTGCTGAGTACAACTTCAGCAAAGCCATGTCTGGAGAGGATACTGCCAATGACACGTGGAGATGATCCAGTCAGTGAAACCAAAGTGCTCTGAGCCCTGCTGGGGTCAGAGTCCATGGTCATCAGTTACAATAGCATTTGGGCTTTCCAAGACTGGAGCAAGGTCCAGCCCTGTATATGGGGCACAATCTAACATATAAAACATATCAGGCTCATTCTTGACTCTTTGGGACCAGGCCAAAGAGTAGGACCAGGCCTCTTTGTCTTCATATCCCAAAAAATTACAATTTTTTGAGGTTCCTGCCCTTCCCCACTACCACTCAGAAGAGATGGTTGTCTTCTTGCCTGAACCTTGGTTTAGTCTTAAGCCCCAACCTGAGTCCCAGAAAAGCTGGAAACAGAGCCAGCTCTGTGTCCCAGCCTCTGGGGGTCTCTTCCAGTCAGCACTCCCCAGAGTCACCCATCTCCCATCCCACACCCAGCCTCCGTGCTGAGCCCATTGCATGGGATCAATGCACAGGACATGCTGATGCTCCCTCCTGTACAGAGTGGGGAACTCGTGTAGTTTAAGCCTTTTCTGTTCAACAATCACAGCTGCAAAAACTCCAGGCACAGCAGGCAAACTCCAGACGTCCTGAAAATAAGTGCCAGGCACCTCCCCTTCTCCAGTGCTCCACCCAGATGCTCTTGGGATGGAAGGTACACACATTCAGGATGGTTCTCCTCACCTAGGTGTTGCGTTTGTATTTTGAGAGGTGAGGAGACATCTTCAGGCCAAATTTTCTATTTATTTTTCAGTCTTGTTCTGAAGTCAGGCAGGTTCCTCTGTTCTGCCTCAGTGGGAGGATGATGGCCCAGTGTGCCCATCCCTGACCATCATCCTCAGGAATGTCGCTCCAAGGCCGAGCAGCACAGCGTCACCCCCAACAGGGCTGACCTGCAGGGAGGCATCTGATGACAGCTTGACTGGTGGAGCAAAGCTCGACTCATGTTTGTTTGGATAGTCAAAGGACTTGGAACAAATGTCTCTGACTTGTGTTGGTTTAGATAAAAGGACCCCAGCCTTGTCACAGAATCAACAGGGCTGACGAGAAATCACTTGTGTAGACCTCCTCTGCCCGCCAATCCTTTTAAAACAGAAAAGACCACGATGACAACAATAATAATTATTCTTTAGGTTGGAAAAGACCTTTAAAATCACCAAGTCTAACTGTTAACCCAGTGCTGCCAATCCCACCACTCACCCACCACAACCAGATGGCTTTTAAATACTTCAAGGGTGGGTGACTCAACCACTGCTGGTTGATGGGCAGCCTGATCCAGTTCTTGACAGTCCTTTCCTTGAAGAAACTTTTCCTAATATTAATCTAATCAAAATAATAATAGAAAGGTTTTTTTTCACAACTTGGAGGCATTCAATCCTTTCTGGACCAGGGCTCACTGGGGTGCCAAGAGCAAGATCAGGGATTGGGGCTGCATGGTTGGGATCACCTGTCATCTGGGTGACAAAAAGTTTGGGACATTTTGCTACATGGTCCCTTCTGTTTTGCTCCCCATCCTGACCTGGCTGACAATCTCTGCCCTTACAGACCCAGTGTCTGGCTGGGAGGGAAGAGAAGGCTGGACATGGCAGTGCCTGGAGTGGGGAACTGAGGGGGACATCCACATCCATCTGGCATTCTGAAGAATGAAGGAAAAGGAAGGAGGGGGCGGGTAGAAAAGAAAATCCCAAAGATCCTCGGATAATAAGCACCATTAAGGTTAGTCTGTCTCATGATTGTTTCTTATTAAAAAGAGACTGTACTTTATCTGTGCAGGATATGCTGTTTGGATGAGGGAATTAGCAGAGTGACTGCCTCCATATCATCTAATTAGCAAAAATGTTGATAAGCAGATACAATCACATATGATTAGGATCCTTTTAAAAAGCCACTCCATTAATTAAATAGACAGAAAGGCTGCCTCCAGCCCTCGCGTGCCACTGATTAGAATACAAATATTTACACTAATCTCACCTCCATCAGCCATGGGACACTTTTGAGTATTTTTAGTGACATCAGATTACTATTGATTTTCATCCCCAATGTCAGACCATTTTGTTAGTATCTGAAAGTGCTGCCTTCAGTTTCGGATGCTTTAAATCATGTTAAGGGTTTATCTTAATGACGCTGCTGATAACCACTGTTCAGGTCACTCGTACTTTCTCTTCAAAGAACAAGTCTGGGCGGGCTTTTATTGTTTGTACTTGAGATTTAAGATACGAAAAACATTTCTCATTTCAAAGCCTTGGTTTCTAGGGATGGGGCTGCCAGGCCAGTTTGGGTCTAGTTACTTGATGTGTGCATGTCTCATTTCCCTTTCTCCCTGCCTCTCCTTGACCCTCTCTTTTTTCCTTGCAAACCCTTTTGGCTCACAGCAGTGGCCTGTCTTGAATGGCTGCTAATCACTGACGCCTGCTGCAGGCAGCAGACAGACAGGCAGTGAGCATCCTCCGTTTGGGGATGACAGGAGAAAAACACTCCCTACTTTTCAGCTGGGTAGGATGCACTAAATCCAAGACAGATAACCCAGTGCGCCAGCCAGTCTGAGATGGGCTCACAGCATCAAAAGCAAGCAGGGGAAGAGACGCTTTGCAAAGACACAGCAAAAGGCAGCCACCTCCCTCCCGTGCCCAGCCCCACTCCCCAAAGTTGATAACAGCCCTGGGACCCTCTCCAACAGACTTTTCTGATGTCCCATTTTCCCTTCTGGGTAATAGAGAGTAGGAACAGCAATCCTTCTTGAAATTTCTGCCAAGCATCTGCAAAAGAACCGTGCTGGCAGTGGCTAGGAGCTGCTGGGGACTTGTGGGTGGTAAGCTTGGATCACCCTCAAGTCCAATGGACAGTCCTTAAAAATCTAGTCCCTTTCGTGAAGATTTCAAGCACAAGACTACAGTCTGAGTAAGTGATCAAGTCTTAGCTCTCTCTCAGTGTAGAAGACCACTTCAGGGTGTTTTGGGAATGCAAAGAGCCCTCTGAGCTCAAATAGGCTGCAGCAGCTTGCTGTTGGACCCAGGTTACTTTTGCCATTTCTACAGAACAAACAACATCCAGCAGAACAATAATTCATGTGGCACAGCTGCCCTGTAATTAAGAAGACTTCTGTACCAAAGGAGGCAGAAGCTGAGATCTGTCCAGTGAGGTGAGCCCACAGGACCATGAGCTCATTTGCTCCTTTGCACTTCCTTCAGCTCCAGCCCCCAGACCTTCACTGCCCTGCAGCAGCCTTTACTGCCCAAGTCTGGCAAGCACCTCCGTGCCACTGCCCCATCACTGACCAGTAAGAACACCAGCAGTACAAATACCTCTCCCAGCATGTGTCAGCTCAATTGCCCTCCTCATCTGTGACATTGCTGTCTCCAGGCTGACATGACTGCCCCTTGCTTTCAGAGCCCCCCACCCCGGCTGTGTGTCAGGACAGCAGCCAGCTCATACGCTGTGCACATGCTCTTTGGTCTGGCTGGCTCTTGACTTCTTCCCAAAGTGTGGGATAATGGAAAAGAGGGCAGTGATCTGCAACATATGCTGCTATTAGTAGGTGTTTATGACACTGTGTTACAGACAGATGAATTCTCATTATTGGCACTTCCTTGGAGATCTTCTTCATGCAGTGTTTCCCTCTGAGGATATTGTATTTCCCACCAGAATGGCAAACCCAAGGAATAGAAACAGATGCAGGATAACCCTAGATTTGATTGCCTGTGTCAAGTTCCTGGGCCATCCCTGTTGTACATGCATACACACCTTGGGACAGGTATCCAAAAAGTCACACAGAAAAGAGGCTAAAGTTGGTCATTCTGGGAATTTAATTTACTACCGACATGAAAATGAGGCTCTTCTGAAAGGGTTAGGCTTGTCTATAATTTCAGAAAAGATTATGATGTCCATCTAATTTTAGGAAAATTTTAGGAAAAACTCCCATTCAGGGTTTAAAAATGGCCACATGGGGAAGTTCCAGTGATTCGCTACCTTGTTAAAAAAGGATGTGCAATGTATTTTGAATTTATATTTGGCTAATAATTCCTTCCAACTGCTTTGTCTGGGAGCCTCAAGATCCCTGTGTCACTGAATTTCTGTTCCCATGCAGGTTCTTGCTGACTATGATGTAGCTGGCATTGAACTTCCTCTTTCCCCAAGTCTCTCACTCCAGAGCGTATTTTCCAGTCCCTTACTCACATTCTATGGTCTTTCCCTGGGCTTTCTCTGATTTGTCCACACTCTTTCTGAACTATGGGTAGCCAAACTGCAGCTTCCCTATAACTGCTGCCATAGGGAATTCTGTCCCATAGATAATATGACCTGACCACACTACACTTCCCTGGATTGCACACGAACCCACAGCGAGTATCTGAGAATCTCACTGCAGGGTGGGTTCAGGCAAAAAGTAATCTGACAAAGTCACAAGGGTGGTAAAACACTGAAAGACATTGCCCAGGGAAGCTGTGGATGCCCCACCCCTGGAAGTCTTCAAGACCAGTTTGGTTGGGGCATTAAGCAACGAATTCTAGTGGAAGTAGTCCCTGGCCATGGCAGGGGACAGGGATTAGAGGTCCTTTAAAAAGGGTCACTTTCCACCCAAACCATTTTATGATTCTATGGCAGTCCTACATCACAGCTGTATCAGTTACATCCAGCAGCTACAACATCTGTGCATGATCTACATTTACAAACAGAAGGCCAGTGACAACCAACTCACCCTGGAATGTGGTCAGGACAACAGAGCCAGGATTGGCTGAACCCTCTCTGAGGTCACAATCTCACGGTTTGTGAGCAACAGGTTTGAAAAGAATGTCTGTGGTCAAGCAGCTCTTGGTGTCCTTGCACTGCAGCAGGGCAGAGCAGCTCATGGGGTCAGCTGAAGATCTCTCTACCCTCTGCATGCTGATCAGCCTTGGTAGGAGAGAGAAAACCAGGCATCTTCCAAACAACCCCAGGTGTCCTCTGAGATGGTAGATTACTACAGGGTCCTTGGACTGCAAAAAAATGCCTCACAGGATGCTATCAAGAAATCCTACCACAAACTGGCACTAAAATGGCATCCTGATAAGAATCCCAAAAACAAGGAGGAAGCTGAGAAGAAATTCAAAGAAATTGTTGAAGCATATGAGACTTTGTCCGACCCTCAGAAGCGATTATTCTATGACAAGTCTATTGAGGAGAGCAGAGCCAGCAGAGAGCGAGCTTCGGCGTGTTATAACAGCTTTGATTCTCATCATGGATTCCCCCATCAAGACGAGTTCTTTGAAGACACGTATCCATTTACATGTATTTTCTTGAACCCTTTTGACATTGGATTCAATGGTGAGAACCGGCAGAGCAGCAGTGGAAGAGGAGGAAGGCCCAGAGAGCCGTTTGTGCAACGGAATTCATTCTGTTCCAGCGGGCACCCCACCTCCTTCTTTGCTGAAAACACAACTGGGCCGTATGGTCTCAGAACAGTGATAACCACTACTGAAGTGATCAATGGCAAGACTATCACCACCCGGAAAATCTTTGAGGATGGGCAGGAGACAAAGGAAGTGGAAGAGGATGGCCAGCTGAAGTCTCTAATAATCAATGGGAAAGACTACCTGAATTCTTAATGTCACTGCAAGCATTGACTGCAAGCTGTGGGACATGCTCTCATAGATCAGCTGATGGGATTTACTACAAGAGTATCAATAAATGCTCTTGACACAACCGATGCAGACTTCTCAATGGTTGGGAAAAAAATATTTTACAGGTAAAGATACAGTTATGCTAAACTAAAGAGTGTGAGTCCACAAAGCCTGAATGAGGTGCTAGATAGTGATTATTCAGTAAATATGTATCACAGGTACATATGAAAGCAACCTTGCTGGTTTGCCAAAGAGACCAAGTTGATTAATACAACAATAGGAGACAAGCTGGTTTGTGGACACGTAAGAGAGCCCTATAACAAGCTGTAGGTTCCCTTCCCACTCCTTGAGATGCTAGTGTTAAAGTTTACCAGCTGGATGAATAAAGCCTTGTGTGACTCTCATACACAACCCTAAGTGAAAAATATCCTTCCTACTTTTGGTGTATGAGAAGATGTATATCCATTGAAAAAAAGGTTTTTATACACAGGCAAGAAGGTTGGCAGGGGTCAGTAGGACATGGAGAGCCTAGAGGAGAGAGACTGTCAGAAAACAAAAAAAAAAAACAGAGGAAGGAAGAAAACATTCATCCAACTGTAAAAGAAAATTGGGGCTTTCTTGAGAATGCCCAGCAAATGATGACCAGAGACCCTGATGGAAGTACTGCATAGTTAGGGGCTGAAACTGAGCAGGGAAAAGGTGAATTTGGCTCCTGGACTGGGACAATCTATATTCTCTCTCTGCCTGGAGTCATTCAAACACAAAGAGCTAAATTCAAACCATGAGCCAACAGATTCCAGGGGGCTGAGTTTAGCTCTGTCTTTGTGCAAAGCTGGATGTGAAGACTTAGATGATGCTTTACCATCCTTATTGTCTTGCTCACAGCTGCAATAGCCAGTTCACAATGCATTTCTTGCACAGCCTGCCAGCATGCTGTTCTTGTCCTCCACTGAGCTACAGAATGCACTCCCCATTTTTCCACCCTCCCCTGGGCTGACATGAGCTGCTGAGCCTTGTTTCTTGCTTGGCCAGGTCACCTTAAGCATTTAAAATCTTACACACCTCTTGTTTTTGGTCCCACGCTACATCCCCTTGAGTTTCCCAGCTTTCCCTGCCCGGTGATGTCTCCCTGGAGACTGGAACTAGTTTTCAGGGACATTTTCACTTTAATCCAGATTGCAATTGCTGCCTGTGTTTGGGCAGGTCTTTGCATCTGTTTCCTCTGCTGTAAAATGGGAATAACAGACTCCTGTGCTTTGAAGGAGACTGTGAGGTAGTGTTGCTAGTAAAGAACTCTGAGCATTAATGAATAACTTAAATTAGCCAGAATGCTGCCACCCCTTATTCAAGCCTTTTTCTCTTGTAAAGACAAATGTAGCTTAAATCACCATCCTTAGCAATTGATGCCATGTTCAGCATGGAAAAACAGACAAAAACTGTATTTATAATGTTAAGGGCTGTTAAGCCCCTCTCCCAGTGAGAAAAAGACAGCACTGGGTAGCAAGTGGAAGCTTAACTGCATGCTGGGTGCATGGAGGGAGGCCAGTGGCAATGGGAGCAGGGAAAACTGTGTCTGCTGCTCCTCCACAGTTTGGAAGCCATCAACAGTCCTGCAGGCATTGGGACTCTGAGAACTGCAAATATTTAAGGGGCTTGATACAGAAAGATTATTTTGGCTGGAGCAAACACGAGTCAGTATTTCTACCAATACTTCTCCTGTGGACATCATATTAATGAGAGATGGCTTCTTGAGTTTATCTTATGCTGCCTCAGAGGAAGTTCAAGGTAAAAAATCCCCCAAACAAACAAACAAAAGAAAATCAACAACAACAACAACAACAAAAATCGAACAGCATGTTTTGTGTTGGAAACTGAAATGGTCTTTGATCCAAATAACATGTTTGGAAATCTGGACCAGAGTTGAATTCCCAGCTCCTCAACCTTTCCAGCTTCCTAGGGCTAAAACTTTGCTTCAGTCTTGTCTCTATGGGATATTTATTTATGCACATCAATTTTTCCTAATCTGAGACAAAGGTATGCAAGAGTATATATATATCACACATTTCTTGCCTTGGGTCAATAGTTCCCTCTCCTGTGTTGGTATCTAAAGCAGCACCTAAGAGCAAGTTCTTCCTTTTTCCATCCCTGGGTCAGAGTGTGTCTATTGCTGCTGGCAGTAGCAGGGATCAGCTGGGGCTGCTCTGGCAGCTGCACATACCCAGACCTGCTAAAAGGAATAAGGGAACACAGACTGGGAAGGGACCAGCTCACCCAGAAAGTGTTGAGTCCAGGACGACCTGCAGATCCTCTTCCATTTCTTCCTGTGCACTGCAGACTATAGAGCACCTCACAGCACTTTCTGTGAGCTAAATATCTGAGATTAAAAAAAAACAAACCAAACCAAACCAAGATGATCAAGGTCTGGTGGTAAGAGAGCAGGTCAATCTGCATTAGCAAAGTCCTGCATTCCTGCAATAGCAAGAAATCTGCCAGGTGTGCCCAAACCACCCCTGGAATGGGTTGTGTTACAGTAAGTAACAGAGACACAACTCATTCTCTAAGTTCTCTAAGTGAACCCCAACACACCTTGCCTTGGAAGCAAACTCTTTTCTGTTCCAGGACATTGGATCAGACTAACACTGAGCCTGCCAACAAAACACCAACACCTTCAAGGGGTTTTTAAAAACTTTTTCTCATGCCATTTAGCAGCCATAGCACCAGAGGAGGCAGCACCAGATGTCCAACTTGCCACAGCACAAATTTGTGAGTCTTTGCCTTGCCCAATTCCAGTTCTCTGTTCCTCTTCCAAAAATGCCTCTCTCCTCCAAAAACCTGTATTTTGGGACCTTGCCTGGTCAGTGGGGAGTCTTTCAGGTGTGTTCATGGCTGAAGGTGCTTGCACACACTTGCACACGCAGTCAAACCCCCTATGAGGACCAGGGGTACCAGCTGCACTGCCTTGTGCTGAGCTGCTGATGGAAACCAGCCCATCATCCTTCCAGTCCCTGCTGGACTTGACGGGCTCGTTTCCAGCACCAGCTCTGCCTGAAGATGTCACACTTGGGGGCAGCTGGAAGCCTCCCTTCTGAGGGCAGCTCCAGACCCCAGCGTGTGGCCCCGGCTGCCTGGGGCAGAGCAGGGAGCGAGGGTGGCTCGAGCTCCATCCCTGAGTGTGGCCAGCAGCCTGCACTGAGAGGCTGAGTCATTATTTTATTAGCAGGGCCCACAACTACTTTAATGTGGACTTAGGCTGCAAAAACAAAAACATACATAAAAGCATTTGGAATTACTTCATAAAATACTAAATCACGATATTAACCGACTGACCTTTGCTCTATGCAGACCTGCTAATTTTAGCAATTACAGCCAACAACTTGAACATATCAAGTGGGCAACTGTTTAACAATAATGACATCTGCTTGGAAAATCAAATTATGTCTAAACATCTTTAAATCCCCACTAGGGGATACCTGCTTTTTCTGTTGCAACTGTTAGTCCCTGTTTAATAGGATTTTAAACTCACAACCGGCTGCACACTGTGGTGGCAGCGGCCCCTCTCCCTGGAGTGACAACAACAGGACAGACATCCCATTAAGCAGAGTGAGAGTCTCTCCTTGGACAGTGATGGAAGTGGTTTGGGTTTTGACAGCTTAATCTGATAGACGGATGCATTAGCTGGATCCCTTTGCTCGCCTGTGCCCCTGCAGATACTGCTCCCCTCTGCAGCCCCCCAAGGTTAAATGTGCTGGACACATCCAGGGCTGATCTCCACTGGCTGCTTCTTGGGGAGGACAGAACCTTGCTACCAAGATGGGCTTTGCAGCCTTCAGTGCTGTTTGTAGAGTAACTGACATGAGATTTCCTCCTGCAATGTCCTCAGACACAATTGAGTTTTAGTTTTGGTGACGAGTTCTGTTTCTTCCCTCTCTTTTCTTGCTTCTCTCCTCCTGTATCCCCAGCTACTTAAATCCCTCCCTGCTGTTCTCCGCTTCATGGGTGAAGCTCCAACACTGAGATCTGTTCTTCCCTATAATGGCCTAAAATATGGCTACAACAGCTCTGCAGTTGCTGAGTTGTAGCCATATTTCAGGCCTGTAGGTTTTTTGTGCCAAGAAAAGTAACATTAGAAGCAAATGGGACCAGTGAGAATGGGTGAGCACAAGACCACCCTAATCTCCACTGAACCACACCAATGCAGACCCAGACCCTCCACCATAAAAGTAAGGTCCTTATTCAGCCCCCAGTTAGGCTGCTGCAATGTCCTGAGCTTTGCTGATCTGGGAACAGTCTCAGCTCCACAGTCCCACTCCTGATCACTCAGCACCCCGGGCTGCAAGGCTGTTGTCAGATATTTGAATTGAGATACAAGAACAGAATATTTCCGCCCCTTCTCCTCTCTCCCTCTCTCTCCCTCCCCGGCCAGTCTGGCACTTCTCTGATGGAGCGTGCAGCAAAATCACAATCACATGTTCGCAGCAGTAGGAGGCCATTGGCATGGAAGTGGCAGTGATGTCACTACAAACATTTCCACCCTATCCCATTTCTCCAGAACAGTCTCCGTTTTTATGACCCCATTCTGAGATCTGCAGGAAATCAAATTGTCCTGATGCTATTTTGAGCGCTGGTGTCATGGCACCGCTGCACAGCGCCGTGGTGTCAAACCCGAGAGGAGGGAGCTCTCGGCCCAGCTCTGCTCTGCTTTGTGCAAGGGCTCAGGGTTGGATCACAGCCCTGCAGGGACCCTCGGGGGGTGTGTGCTGAGCCAAGGGGAGAGCTGAGCAGGGCAGGCCTGGCTCCTGTCCATCAGCAGCTCCCACACCCCGCTGAAGGGTACCAGACCCCGGGGCACCGCAGCGCCAGGGGGCAGAGCGAGCGCTCAGCGCGCGGCGTGTGGCTCTGCACCCTGCATGGCAGCCGCCCTGGGGGCTGCACACGAGGGAAGAGCATGGTTACAGGACATTCATGAGCAGTGAGGGAAAGGGGAT